CTAACAGCTGAGCTGCTTCCCAGTTTGATATAAGCCAAAGCAATTGTGGACTGAAACCCCTAAAGTGTGAGTGAGAACAAACCCTTCTTTCTCAGGGATCTCTGGCTTTTATTACAGAGACAGAAAGCTAACACAACCAAAGGATATGTGAACTAACAGGACACTCAGTCTTGGGTTTCTGACCTTTGTGTTGAGGGGCTTTCTGACAACACATTGTTAAACATCACCTTCTTCGTTCTTTTGTTTTTTCAGATTTATTTATTATGTATACAGTGTTCTGTCTGCATGTGCACCTGCAGGCCAGAAGAGGGCACCAGATATCATTACAGATGGTTGTGAGCCACCATGTAGTTGCTGAGACTTGAACTCAGGACCCCTAGAAGAGTAATCAGTGTCCTTAACCTCTGAGCCATTTCTCCAGCCCCCAAACATCATCTTCTTTAGAGACTGAAAAGTTTCTGGACTCTGCCAGCTCCTTAAAACCCAACTGCTGGGGGCTGGAGAGAAGGCTCAGTGATTAAGAGCATTGCCTGTTTTTCCAAAGGTCCTGAGTTCAATTCCCAGCAACCACATGGTGGCTCACAACCATCTGTAATGAGGTCTGGTGCCCTCTTCTGGCCTGCAGACATACACACAGACAGAATATTGTATACATAATAAATATTTAAAAAAACCCAACTGCTGAGGCACAGGAATCCGTGAGTCCAGGAATCTTCTATTTTTACAGTAGCCAAGGTTGAGAACACTCAGATTAGCATCCACAATACATCTGCACACAGACTTGTACTTCCCTCTCCAGCTCTCCTTGGTCTATAACAAAAATGGCCCTGATTCAACAACAGGTGCACCCTGTGTGGGGTCAAAGACATCTTGCCTCATGGAAAAACCTTTTTTGTCATTCCCAACACCAACTGGGACCACACAGCCCTTCCACTCTTCTCTCCTGCCTCCATTCTCCACGTGCTGGGGTTACAAGTGTGTACCACCATGCCCGCCCATGTCCACTCCACAAAAGCAGGACATTGGTCTCAGTCACTGTTGTATATCCAGCAACTCTGAGAGTTCGGGACCAGCACTGGCAATGATTATTTGTACTATAAATAACTTAAGCCAAATAGTAGGGTTTTGAGGAGATCAGAGTTTGGAAAACTAAACAAGGAAGGGACTTTGGCTGGGAACATGGTGAGTGTGTAATGCACATAAAATATTTACAGACTGTTTTATCAAACTGCCATGGAGGCTGGAAAACAGCCCAGTCATTAAGAATACTGGTTGCTCTCACAGAGAACCCAGGTTTGCTTCCCAGAACCAATATGGAGGCTTACAATCATCAATAACTCTAGTACCAGGAGACCTGAGGCTCTCTTTGGCCTCCAAGGGCATCAGGAACACATGTGCATACAAACATACAAGCAAACCACTCATACCTATGAAAAAGAAATCTTTTTAAAAAAAAATTGTAATGCAAAACCGGGCTCTAGTTGAGAATGTCGGCCTGATTTCACTCCCCCTCTGACCTGCAGGCAAGGACATCTCTACCATAAAGATCTGATTAACTTTATTTTTCAAAAATCTACTTCTTTCCCATCTTTCCAATTGCAGCTGCATATCACTTCCTCAGCGCGTCACCCTCTTATCTCGCCCAGTACTCTGTGCCGCATCACCCTCGCACTAACTCATCTGCTCATTGTGTTGCCAAGCCCTGTGATTATCTCGTTACAGACTAGCCATCAGTAGTAACTTGACTGCTTTATCATACCCGTGGCACCAAACACAGAGGAAGCACAAAGATGTTTGCGGTAAGAGGCAGACCACAAGAATGCTCTGCAAGCAGGTGTGAGGCGGGCCTTTCACCTCAGGGACTGCGCGAGGGGCATCAGAGTCCAAGACAAGCTGGGACAGTTTATTGAGACCCTGCCTCAAATAGTCTATATATATAAAGACTTGCTTTTTATGCGTATGTGTGCTTATCTGCCACAGCTGCGCTGATGCTGGAGGTCTGAGGTTGGTGTCAGATCCCCTGGAGCTAGGGTTACAGGAAATTAATTACAAGTCGCCTGACCGGAGCGCTAGGACCTGAACTTGGGTTCTTTAGAAGAGCAGCAAGCACTCTTAACCACTGAGCCATTTCATTTCATTTGAAGACTCATGAAGTGAAGGTCGACAGCCGAAAGTTCCTCCTTAGGACCATCCGTTTAGCCCTCGCATCCGCCCGCGCCTTCCACCCGGCGCGCCAGGCGTCCAGGAACGCACCCCAGCAGCCCTGTGGCGGTCGCCTTGCGGGAGCAAGCCTGCGACTTCCTTCTCATCCTCTGCAGGTTAAGCCAGGGGAAAACCCAAGTCCTAGGCTTTTGCAGAGACGCCAGATTCAACCATACTAGGATGCCCCACGTGACCGTGCCAGCCAGATCTCGCGGGATTTACGACCCGAGGACAAACCCTCCCGCCACCAAGGGTCTCCACCTACCTCCTGGCGGCGACTAGTTTCTGGAGAAAAGTGTCCAGTATAGTGTCAAGGAGTTCCACCCTGGAGATGGTCGTGTCAACTGGCACAGATTCTGGAGAGAAGCCCTCGGGCCCCTTTTCCACAGCCTCATTACTATGGCTCACGTCAGCCATGTTGAAACCGAACCGCCAAAATGAAATGGCCCCGCAGCCCCTCCCACCAGGACCTCTGATTGGAGAAAAAAAATGCCCGTCACCGTACCGGATGGGGCGGGGCAATTGCCAGAGGCGGTGGGTCAGGGACACGTCGTGCCTTGAATAATTTAGTTCTCGGACTGGAAAAACGTTCTCAAGCTGAAGTTTGGGGCCTCAATAAAAACTTTTAATTACATTTCAAAGATTTCATACAGTGCAACAGCGAATATTCACAGCTAATATCCTCAATAGTCCATTTTTATCAAATGCTTAAGCGCATTTTCTTCCCCATGTTTTCCAGTCTTCGAGTTTCTAAAATAGGTTATGGACCAACAGGTTGAAATTTCTGGCTGTCTTGCTCTCCAGTTTTGGGAAGACGGGCGCCCACTGGCCCATTCTAGTCCCTGACTTCGGGTAAGAAAGTAGGGGTCAGGACAGGGTGCCTAAGGAGAGGGAGGAGAAGCGACAGGAGCGGGAGAGACTACACATTGCACAAGAAAATGAAGTCAGAGAAACCCTGTCAAAAAAAGAAAGAAAAAATTATGAAGTCAGGAGGAAGAAATAACCTAAGGCGTGAGAAGCAGGACCCTCTCGTGGTGTCCGCACCCGAGAGACTGACTCGAGAAGTCACGCTCACGCTCGGAAAAGCTTGTGGTGTGGGGGTCCTTGCTTCCATTGTATCGACAGTACTTGGGTGGATGTGAGGAGTAAAAAGATTTAAAATGATCTGTGGGCTCTGCCCTTCAGATGACTATGGACAAAATTGGGGGGCTCTAGCAATAAAGTGCAGGAAGTGAGGCCTAGCAGCACACAGTAAACTCAGGAGGTGGGGTGGGGGGGTTCAAGAGTTCAAGGTCATCCTCTGCTACAAAGTGAATCAAACCCAGCCTAGGACAAGTCTGAGGCTCCATCTCAAAGTCTCAAAACAACTGATATGCTGAGACCAATAAAAGTAAAGTTCAAGAGGAAACGAGAATAGACTACAGAGGTCAGTAGAGAGATGGCTCCTACTCAGGATGGAAGAATGTGGAGCAGCCGTGAGAAACGAGAAGGCTTCAGTTAGCTAGCACCTTCCAGATTGGCACCATGACGTTTCCCAAGGCATGGGACCACTAAAAAAGGTTGAAAGCATCACCCAGGCCATCATCTTAAGTAGGCAGTTTGACCGCCTTCTTCCCACTCCACGGGTCATGTTTCTCTGGATAGCCTTGGTGGAGGCTGGGAAGAAGCCCCTGCGGGAGCATCAACAATTCTGGCAGTATGAGGCTGGTCACTGAAGTGGGCCTGGTCTTGGGTGTCTTCCTGACTGTTCTTTCTTCTGCTGCCACCACAGGGTACCGTGACTAGGATGATACTTCACAACCAAGGACAAGAAAAACAAGGGCAGTTCATATTCCAGAGTCCCGCTGGGAGACACCTGTTGTTCATCTGGGGGACAGGTATGTAAGTGGCATTGCTGCCTGGGGCTCAGCGGTTCCACTGCTGCCTCCGGGGCTCGGCTCAGCTGGCCTGAGGAGAGAGCAGTGAAGAACACACACCTTTCATTACTTGCCAAGCCAGTGGCTTTCTCAACCTGGCTTCAGGGAAATGTTCCAGTGTAAGTTTGATCCACTTAGGACTGCGCCCTCCACTGTAGTCCCAGTGGAGGCTAACAGCCCATTCTTGTCTTCAGGGTCCCAGACCTAAAAGGAAAGGGAAGATAAAGAACTGGGATCCATGTCACAGTTTTCCACTTATCCGAGGAGGGCTTCTGACAGTAGACCCAATGCTGTCAGGACTAGTTGCCTGCTTCACAGATGTTCAACTATGCGAACCAAATGAAGCCTTGGCGTTTCTCCATCTTAGTAGCTCCCAGAGAAGACGAACGCCCTGCAGAATGCCCTGCCCCCATTTGTCCCCAAAGGCAGGGCAAAGCAGAGTAGTCCAGTGGACAACTGGGTCCCAAATTTAAGCAAGCATAAGAAATAAAGGGATAAAGAACTGGGATCGACGTCACAGTCTTCCACTTCTCCGAGGAGGGCTTCTGACAGTAGGCCTGAAGCTGTCAGGACTTAAAAGTCTCACGATGGAAAAGCAGGGGACAAGCAAACTATAGCAGCTCTTCTCCAGGCCTGAGGGGCAGACACAGAGAGAGGGGCATCAGCGAGGGGCCAGCAGGGTCCTGTGGAGGTTGATCTTCAGGCCGTGACTGAGTATGAGGACCTAGTGAGGGGCCCAGATCTGGGAACAAGGAAGCCAGCACAGAATCTCCTCAGCAAGAGCCGTCCAAAGTTTCTCGTCTTGTCCCAGAGAGGTCAGAGGGCCAGAAGCAGGATGGGTGTGTCGTGGTGGCATTCACAAGGATACTCTCCTCCCTGCTCTACCCTGGCCCAGAAGAATGTGTGAAACCACAGCCTTTCTGTCCGCCATTGGCTACCAGTGTCTTGAGTCCACCAGCTCAGGTCGGAGGCTGAGTTTCTTGAGGCTCTCGTAGCCCACCACGATGACGATAGTAGAGGGTGTAGCCGAGATGATTCGAGCAGAGAGGCCCTTCATGAGGCCCCAAGGCCCCTCTTCTGCCATCAGCTGTCTGAAGGTCAGGATGATGGAGCTCTTGCCTTCAACCTGGAAGAGTCACCACAGTAAGGGCCACCAGCTGTCTCCGTCACAACTGCTCTACTCACCCACACTGTGCATCAAGACTCAAGTGGGAACTCTGCTTCTAGGACAGTAGTGACTTCCTCCAAGCTCTGGTGACAGACTACCTGAGTTCACTTAACCCTTCCTACCCCATTTTCCTCACATAGAAAATGGTGATAATAGACCCTGTGTCACAAGCAAGAAAAAGTAATACTGGGGCTGGAGAGATGGCTCAGTGGTTAAGAGCATTGCCTGCTCTTCCAAAGGTCCTGAGTTCAATTCCCAGCAACCACATGGTGGCTCACAACCATCTGTAATGGGGTCTGGTGCCCTCTTCTGGCCTGTAGGCATACACACAGGCAGAGTATTGTATATATAAAAAATAAATAAATTAATTAATTAAAAAAAAAAAAAGTAATACCAACCACAGAGCCAGGCATGGTGGCACACGCCTTTAATCCCAGCACTGAGGAGGCAGAGGCAGGTGGA